TTTTAGTCATAGTTTAATTATAAAATTCAAATCATCAATTATCTTGAGTTAAATAGATTCGGTTAAGGTCTCGGTAATAGAAATCAAATTAAATCAATTCTCGTGGGACAATACTCGAAATTTTACAATTTTCACTTTATTACTTGTTAACGAACCGTGCACTTGCGGAGATTTACAAAGCGAACATATTTATGTGAACACAATATACAAACAGAAATAAATTAACACAACACCACCCAAAAATCACACAGCCACATGAATATATTTGCTAGTACTACAAAAGAAAAAAGGAAGACCTTTTATGCTTATTGACGTCGGAGTGATCGTTTTTTCTGGATTGAGTCTTGAAGGCGGCGAGCATTTCATCGTTCTGTTTAATGTTTTCCAATCTTTTGCTCTCTTATTCTGCGATTTTTCGGTCCGCCATTTTTCTTCCTTATGTTGCAAAATTAGGGTTTGTTTAGGGATTTTGAACTTTCTAATGGACAGAATTTGGAATCGGTATATGCTAATTGGGGTTGCGCTGGTTGACTGTTTAAATTAGGGCGCAGGGATGGGAATCAGCGGGAAACGAGATTGATGTGATTACATGGCATGTTTATGGCCGATTCTTACTTTTGAGATGAATCATGCTACATGTTAACATAGAACTTTGACTGACGTGACATTTTATCATTAAGTCCATGTTTGGTCCGCATTAAAATCTGATTTTAATTTAAGTTAAATTCAAACAACCAATATTAATCACATTTTTCATGGGTCCCACAACTTTTAAGTCATACATTTCAACAACTTCTACCACAATCTACTAAAAATCTAATTTTAATCACCACCAAACACTCTCTAAATATAGTCAATTTTTTACTGTCACGTGCAATTATGTCAAATTGTTTTGACAGAATAGCTTTAGTGGAAATTACACAAAACCAGAATTTTAAAGATTCAATTTCAAAAATCAAATTAAAGGTTTCACTTTTCAAAAATCAGATATTTTATTTTTAAATATTAAATATTAATTGTACAATTTCCATCTAAACCTAATCAATTTCATCCCAATTTTCTCTCTTTTCTCTTCATCACTCTCTCCACCGCTCTCTCTTAAACTCTCTGCCGCTCTCTCTTCTCACTATATACTCTCCTCCATCTCCGACTCTCCGCCGATAGCCCAGCCTCCATGAGACGGTGCACTGTTTTCTTCTTTCTTCTCTCTTCTATGTCACTCTTTCGTTTGTCGTTGACGACACTTGAGTTCGTCACTGACTGTGGCAATCGGGAGTTCGCTGTAGGCAATCTGGTGTTGGTGTTTGCGGTAGCGCTGATGGCTTGTTGATATGCCGCTGTGCTCTCCGTTGGTTAGATCGGGTGAGGTGATGGTGATGTGTGGTTGTGGTGGTTGTTCTAGTAGTAGTGGTTTTGGTGATGTGTGGTTGTGGTTGTAGTGGTTGTTCTAGCAGTGGTGGTTTTGGTGATGTGTATGGTGGTGATGTGTGGTTGGATCTGGTGAGGTTGCTCGACAACACTAATGTTGTTGGTGGTTCCTAGTTGTCGCGATGATGTTGTTGTAGCTACAGTCGGCAGGATCCCATTTTGGATAGTGCAGTGTTGCTTTCAGTCGATTTGATTTATTGAGGTGGTGGTGATGTGTGGTTGTGGTGCTTGTTCTAGTGGCGATGGTTTTGGTGATGTTTGGTTATGATTGGATCTGGTGAGGTTATGGTGGTGGCGTTTGGGTGACAGTGTCTGTGTTGGAGGCGGAGGTTATGTTAGATGTATTGGTGGCTGTGGTTTTTTTGGTGGTAGATCTTAGTGGTGGTGGTGTTCTTGAGTTGTTGGTGGCGACGGGTCTCTCGAGGTGGCGATGGATTGGTGCGACGACGTGGTGGTGTTTTTCGCGATGTGTTATTTGTTTATGCTGGTGGTGGTGTTGCTGTTGCGAGGTGCTGGTGGTGGTTCTGGCGGCGACGGTGGCAGTGGTGCTGCTGGAGGGAGTGGTACGATAATGGTCACAAGTGTTGGTTGTGGTCACAAATTATTTGGTTGATTGTAACTATTAAATTGGTTAATTTGTAACCAATGAAAAATATAAATTGTGACAAAAAAACATGTGACCTAAAAAACTGTTAATTTGTGATCGATAATTTGAATGAGTGCCTGACCTAAAAAACTGTTAACTTGTGATCGATGATATGACAATTTGTGACTGTCCATCAATTTGACAATGTCTGACCTATAAATAAATTATGACGTTTCAATTTTTTATTTGTTAGCTATAAAATTTTTGAATTGTCACCGTAAAAAAATTTGTGACATAAAATTTTTGATTTGTGACCAATGAATAATATGTGATTTATTAATTTAATAGATTTGTGACCGATAAATAAATTGTGACATATAAATTTTTGATTTGTGACCGATGAACAAGTTGTGACCTATAATTTTTTTGAATTGTGACCGTAAAATAATTTGTGACATATGAAAATTGTGATTTGTTACCAATTAATAATATATGACCAACTATATGAAATTGTGACCAAATTATATGGAATTGTGATCTTAATATATTTAATTAATAAAATATATGTTTAATTAATTTATTTATAAATAAATTATAAAAAACTCTGAGATTTGAAATTATAAACATAATCCCTTAAATTTGAAATTGGTAAAACTAAGGAGTCATTCTCTTTGTGTTTCAATTTTAAGTTTTGAGATTTGAATTCATTTTGTATTTTATGTGTTGAGTGTCCATTTTGAGATAATTGAAAACACGTTCTTTTTGTCATTTTGTAAAATTATTTCTCAAAACACTTGCTCCAAAACGCGTTTACATTGTTTTCAATTTTTCCCATTCTCCAACAAGCTGGAAAATGCCCCTCCAAAGCCACCGTCTTCTACCTCCCAAATCGACCATCACCCACCAGCTAGACCACCAGATCCCAGCATCA